CGTGCCGGTCAGGTCGGCTGGGGCCGGCTGCCGAGAGCCTGCGGGCGTCCCGTCCGCAGCCGTTGTCTGGGACGTTCCCTGGGATGTTCCCGGGGCAAGTTCTGGAGTGAAAGAATGAGACCCCAGGTGTTCCGGGGGAAGAACTCAGGGTCCGGGGCGGGGTCGGGGGTGTCTGGGGAGGGGGTAGTGGCGGGGAACCAGGGCCAACACTCTTCTCCCAATAGCTGTGCAAACACAGACAAGCTGCTCTGAGTTTTTCCCCACCTGTAACATACTTGCGGTGGTTGTGAGGTTTCTTCCATCCCTAAGGGTTCTGTTTCTGAGTTCTGCCTCCTTCATCGTTGACTGAACCCCTGCCTTCTCCCCACGCTGGCCTGTCCCTGTGGGTTATGTGTTCCTTCCTGGTGTCCCCTCCACGTCCTCCTTCACCCCCTGCACGTCCTCTGTCGAAGAAAGGGGCTGCCTTGGGTGCCCTCGGCCCCTTTCCCTCCAGCATTCCACAGCTTAGGGCCCGGTGTGTGCGAGGTGGTGGTAGCTCTGGACTCCAGCACCGGAACTCTCCGGAGAGCGTGGGGGCGTCACCCAGGGCTATTACTGACTGGTGGCGCATGGGTCTTGGCCCCTGGCTTTCTGCAACTCTAGGTCAGGGTGGGGTCAGGGAAGTTCAGTCATCAGTTTAAACAACAGGTTTATCCTGCCCCACAGCCTGGGGGGGGGGGCCTGAGAGCTGAGCTGACTCTTCTCCCTGAGTGGTCTGGGAGGACGCACCCCTGTGAGTTAGTTCCAATTGTATGTTTTTTTTCTTTTTCTTTTCCACTAGCTCTTTGATGAGGAGAATCCGGTACACAAATCTGGAACCAGATACATGTTTACAACTGAGGGGCACATTGTATCTGTAGATGAGCATCTCCGGGAATCACCCTGGAAGGAGTTCTTTTCAGAAGAGGGAGGGCAGGACCAAGTGGGAAAGTCAGAGCACCGGCCTAAACCTCACGAGCTCAGAGTCATCAACTCCAGCTCCAACGTAAGTCGCTTTCTCCAGGGGTGGTTTGCCTGTGGGAAAAAGACTGCCAATCACGTTGTGACCCAGGGTTCCTGACGGAAGAGTCACAGCACACTCCGGCTGGGCAGTTTGAGACGGTTTTCAGTGAGAGGCTGTGTCTGTAGGTGCCGTCAGGGTGTAAGGAAACCACGGGGGCAGTGGCCCATTGTCACTCCTGGCTGAAGAGGCCAGCGGAGAGAGTGGTCACAGGAACACAGCCTCTGGGGCCAGGGCGGCACGGAGGAGGGTGGAGAGTGGACCCGGAAGAGAGCCACAGGACCACCCACCAGCCGGAGAGGGAAGAAGGGCAGGCATCAGCCATGATGGCCTTTAGTGAGATGCAGGAAGCACTGGCTTCCTCCAGAGCGGGGCTCCACGCGCATGCCTGCGTCATCCCCGTAAGCAGTGGGGACGGTTAGGGAACAGAAATCCAGGAGCCTCTCGTAGCAGCCCCGGGTAGCTGTATTGATTTGCATCAAACAGGGTGGTTTGGACGTGCGGAGGGGGACGTGGGCACTGCGTCAGGTGACGAGTCAGGTGACGAGTCAGGCGGCGGTATCTCACAGTGGATGCTGTTGCTCTGCTTGGAAGAAGCCTCAGTTTCCGAGTCCTGCCACCTACCCCCAGATGAGGTCATCCAGTCCCATCTCCTGAGGAATTAACCCGTGGGTTTTTAATTCAAAATTCAAATTGTCCCTCCTTTTTCCTAAGTGCAATCGCGTTCCTGACGAGAGGAGATACTCTCTGCCCTTAAAGAGCATCTATATGCGCCAGATCGACCAGATGGTCGGCTTGATCTGATCCGCGCTCCCCTGTGTGGCCTCATCTGAAACGGACCTGATCCAGTGGAACCCAGGCCCGGCGGAGACCCGGGCCGAAGCAGGAGAGAATGGGAGTCTGGGTGTCCGTGACGGCGTAGGGAGTTCTCTCCGGCTCCTCACCCACAGCTAGTGGGTTCTTGCACACTTAAGTGTTTCTCTTCTGTTCAATAAAGCGCCCAGGTTGTCTTAAGGATATAGCTTGAAGTGAGAAGGTAGATGGAAGTTGGCTTCTTACGCTATGCTGATGTCACGAAGCCCTGCGGCTGGGCCGTCTCTGGCGGGATCTTCAGAGCTTCCGTCTGTGGATCCATTGGGTGTTGCCTGTGCGGGCCCTCACCGCGAAAGCAGCACGGCTGCCTCTCCATCAGAGGCTCACGGAAGGGCCTAGGTCCACCTGACCTCCCTGTTTATTGCATTTCATCATCCTCTCTCTCTCTCTCTCTCTGGATAGCTAGGCTCTCCCAGTCACCACCCGTGATTGTCGATCCAGTGGGGAACAGTCAGCCACTTACTCATTTTCACTACAGGTAATCGTCACAGTGTTACAAACGATTTGCTTACGAGTAACAGTCTTATCAGAAATCTAACAGTCACTCTCTTCAGTTGTCAGGCCACGATTCAGGAACTTAACAGGTGGATCTTTTGGATGCCGCCTTACGGTTCTGGTGGACCTCCCTGAGGAACGCCCATAGTTCCAGAACCAGGTGCCTTTTAGGGAGAGGAAAGTACCTACAACTGTCTGAGCTTCCAGCTGTCTCACATTTACTAACCAAGGGTTCTCGATTCTGACCGTGTTCGGGTTAGAATTCTGTTTTGTTTGTTTCCTCTGTCTAGTGCCAACTAGCTAAGTCAGGGAGAAAGAAATGTCAGGTGACTTTCTGGCCTCCTTGAGCCGTTGCTGTGTGTAACACAGGCTTTAGATTAGTGCCTTCTACTATTTTGGTTTGGGCCACTGGATGTCACAGCTGCTGCTATGATTTTAACAGGCTTGTTTTTTATTACTACCTAGTGGGAACACAGTGAAAGGGGGTGGGAATGGGTATCAATTAGGAAGATTCTGGAAATTCTTGGCCAGTCCTGTCTTTCAGCCTGATATTTTAAGCAAGTATATATAAGGAAGAAGTTGTGCCAAAACTCCTTTCTTTTTTGTTATTATTTCCTTAGCCAGAACAGAACTTTGTCTCCTTGGACTTGACTGATAGCTCGTAGAAAGCAGGGCTGGGTTTGAGCCCCTCTCCTGGCTTCCCTGTGACATCAGAGGTTGAGCTGAATCTCAGTAGAAAGGGCAGGCGGTCTCATAGAAACCCCCACCTTCACCTGTAGCGTTGCCGTCGCTACCGGCGGACTTCAGATGATTTTGTTATAGTCTTTTTAAAGGAGGAAGGGAGTGCTGCGTAAGCCATTGTGTTTTCAATCAAAGAGGAGAAGTTTTATTTCTTCTTGAAAATTTGTGTTACTGTTTTTTAAATATAGTCTACTTCTTTGAGGTTTTTAGGAAAAGGATTTTCAGTAATAAATGTCACCTCTGTCTTAAATATTTACTATGCAAATTGCTTTAAAGTTAAAAAAAATCAAATGCTTCCATTTTATGTTTTCTTCATTTCAGAAACATTCTGTTTATCAACCTTGTCTAGTCTACTGAAGAGAGAATTTTGAGAATATTATATATGTTTTAAGTGTTTTCATTGACTCACTAAAGCCAAAAGGTCCCATTTTAAACACACGCACACGCACACGCACACGCGAGTGCCCTGTACCTTTTCTCTGAGGTGGGACTGTATATGTGAGCCATTTGGGAGAGTGGGGCACCTCAGGGAAGAAACGGGCCCTCCGTGCATCTGTTTTTCTTTCTTCGTTCCCTGCCTTAGCTTCCCGCTCACACTCCCAACATCCCCTCCCCTCTGGGCTCGGGCGCCCCATCCCCCGCACACTCTGGAACAGGGATCTGGGCCTGAGTGCTGCAGAGGCCCCTTGGGCACAGGCTGCGGTGAGACGTGTTCTGTATCAAGTCCCAGAGCCTCGACTTCCCGGCACTGGACTT